TGCCGTCGCCAGGAGACCGGGCAACAGAGGCAGAGCACCCGCCGGTGACACCTCGTCGGACCGAGGGAGTCATTACTTATTCACGGCTGCTTGTGCGTTTCTCCGCGGAAAGGGCTTTGTTTTTCATATCTCACTCGGTAAAACGAGAATTTAGCTTCATACTGCAACCTGAGCACGTCTACTTTTCGACGGGCAGTGAAATGATAATTATATCCAACCTCATCTTCAGGCACGCTATACCCAAATTCTGTAAATTGTTTCACAAAACGACTATTTATACCACAAGCGTCGTAGCAATGCCGCACTAATCAGAAAGGTTGGGTCGAAGAAGAATCATGTAGAAGGCTTTTAAAAGTGCGATAGTGTTTTTCTGTCGGCCATTTGTGGGTGTAGAGGAATGGGTCCGCGCAACGACACGTGGAATCCATGGTATTGATCTCACCAATTTGCCTTTCATCGGCTGAAAATCAGTGTGAACCTTTGCCAGCGCCATTACTTTTCTCTCCGCACCTCCTCTCAGGAGGGTTCACGGGAAGGAAATCGGATCGTTTTTTGCTGAGGCAATCGAATTTGTGGGCGAGCCAGTCGAGGCGAATCCTCCAAACAACGGGCTTTCCCAAAACGGGCGCTGCTGCGTTGAGTTCCCAGAGTGCCGCGCGCGGCCAGTCACCTTTATCCCAGATTGAGCATTGTTCGGAGTTTTGTCTTTACGAATTCAGTATTACGGGATTGCTTACAGAGAATATTGACAAATTTTCCCCTCAAACTGTCATCCTGAAAAGTATGACAACCTTTGGGATGCAATTTCCAATCGGTCACACTGGTTAAAACACTTCTAATAGGCCTTTATCATGATCTTGTTCCCTGTAGTCCCACTGGCAATTGTGATACAACTTCGCACATTATTGAATAGAACAGACTAGTATTTCCTTCCAGCCTCAGTTTGGTTACATTGCTTTGAATGGTTAAAAAGCAAGCTGGCTGCCATGATAGAGGTCTATATGGTTAGCAACATTGTTTTGTTTTTAAAGATTTGACAAATGCAAAAGCTCATAAGGTACTTTAAAATGTTTACTTTTAAAGCTCACAAAATATGGAGGGCCTGACGTTTCGATCCTAGCAGAATCTTTCTCAAAGGCAAAATGCCTTCTCCTTTGAGAAAGATTCTGCTGGGATCGAAACGTCCGACACTCCATATTTCGATTTGTATTTTGGGTCATTGTAGTCAGCAAGCAGTTCGCAGCAGTTTTGAGTTACATATCTTTGGAATTCTTTTAAAACTGATGGTTTGACGCACCTGCGTCTCAATGAGACAATTCACATTAATTTTTTTCTTATGCACCTGTATATTCGGGACTTTGTCTGGCCTTCCGCTAGAGTGCAATGATAATTATTTACAGCCGTTTCATACCACGTTCTCAGGGTATCAAAGATAAAACCCCAGCCTGAATAAAAAAAAAAATTGTAGGCGTGTTTTTTAACCCTTCTCGTTTCTTTCACGATGCCAAGAATGTGTAAATACCGCCAGGGGATCGCTTGATTAAACATTCCGTTTGATGCCGTCGACGGCTTGGAAGTTCAATGAGAGCTCAAGCCAAGAAACCCTCGCGAAATATCAATATTAAAGGATGATAATTTCAGCACGGGAACGAGACTACACGATAGTTACCACACGAGATTGTTGTCGTGTTCTTGCAGTCGGAGTCGTTGATATCTGCGGGTTAAAGTCGCTTTGTCGGACGGACAGGTGGCCAAAAATTATCGTCTTCAGAAGCGAAGTATGATCATGTCCGTGTTACGCGGCCACGGTCAATAATAACATCCTAGACCACTGGAAATGACGGCGCGGTATTTGACAAAGGCTGGGCCATTCGAGAACAAAGCACGTGTGTAAGTCGGTAAAAATGGCCGCGCAGCTAGAGTAGACACGCGCGTGCGTATTGCTGTTCCCGGATAACTTTGGATGGCACTTCATTTTGGGCATGCGCTGTTGGAATAACCGAACTTGCCAATAGGTGCATTGTGATATCTTTCTTGTTCATTTATTTCCACAGTTGTATTGTACATGCAATCTCAATTTCCAAACGCTGAATATATACGGAGAAAAAGCCGTGGAGGTACCCAGTAAAAAGTAACGCGTATAATTGTGGGCCCTTGAAGCAATATTTATAGTTACCATTAATTAATTAACACACACACAAAAGACAAACGTTAGACAGACTAGACACTTACGGTACTCTGTATGTCAGTTAAAAATTACGTATATTTGAAATAAAAACTAAGAATAGGAGAAATGAATGAGAATAAGAACCCTGGGAGATTACAGAGAAAGCTTATCAACTCGGGCGTTTGACTGTAGGGCGCCTCCAAGAGTTTGCGACACGTTGGCCAATTGTCGAT